GAGTTCTTACAACGAATATTTAAAAAATGTTGGATTCCTAAACTGCCTCTAAATACCAGTCATTCTTTAAATGCAAATATTTGTATGATAGAAGAATTGAAAAAAGAATAAGCTAGTGATTTACTATTCTTTTGAGCAATCATTACTATCTATTTCCATTTCTGCATAATTGTACTGTAAAATCACAATAAAATTTAGCATGCATTTTGTTTGCAATTTATTTTATACAAACTTAATTAGTCTGTATAAAATAAATTCTTTTAAAATAAAATATTTCATTGAAATTTAAAACTGACTGTATTTTTGTATTTTAGTGGGTTGGACCAGGGCACACTAAAACTGATCAAGTACAGCAAGCAGAAGATGGCAAAACAGAATTATCGCTCATTCATTTTAAGGTAGGCATTTCTGAAAATATTTAAGAAATATTTTCTTAATTTTACTGTTTCAAAAGTACTTACATATATCCTCTATGCGTTTCATGTTACAAAGGTATTATTTGATTAGATTAGTAGGAAAAAATCAAATTACATTTTTAAAAATTTCAAAAAATTATCTCTGGAATGCATAAAAACTTTATATAGTTCTTACAAAAGGCTATTTTTGCAGTGAGAATTCCTTTATTTACTTATTTGGCAGAATGAACAAATGCATTTAGCAGAATGCATCTGACCATAACATCTTTTTACACCCAAATATTTGAATAATTTTTTCTTAATATCTGTTACTGAGCCATGGCGGCTTAGGGGATGTTTGCCTCCTAATGAGGTAAACCAGGTTTGAATCCCAGAGATGGCTGGTCGTTACGAATTCTGCATCCGGGTTGCATCTACCACAGTGTTGACGTAAAAATGTCCACAGTGGTAGATCGGATCATGGGTTAAAGTCCCCTTGCTGTCAAACTAGCTGTAGGAGCTTTTTGTGGTTATGCTGGTTAGTTTAATCTAAAAGTCCTCCACAAAAGCAAATTTCTCCCAATACTTGATCCAGAAATTCCCCTGTCTTCTGTATTAGGATCAAAATTACGAGGATAAACTCAAATTTGGATGGGCTGTTCAGCGATGATTATAAAATAAAATATCTGTTACTATAAAAGTGTTACTATTCTGTCCATAGATTTCCAGCTTATCGAGAAAATATTTTTTTATTAATGTTTAAAATTTTTCACCTTCGTAAGATTGAAACAATAGCTTTTAATTTCAATCAAAATTTAATTTAAAAGTTATTCTTCAAAAAAACAAGTCAATGACGTTATAACACACTTAATCATCAGCTCCATTTCTTAGCTTTTGAAAACTTAATATGTTAAACTCGTGAATCATCTACAAAGTGTATTGAAATGATGTATCTTATCTATTCTATTTTAATTGTTTCATGAAATTTTTTAGTGTCTTGAGTAATTTTTTGAGGAAAAAAAACCTTATTAAATTTGCCAATCATGAAGTTTTATATGTTTGAATTGAAAGGCTATTCACTTAATTATTATTTTTAGAACATGGCAAATCTTGTATAGTAGAGATTCTTTTTCGATCAATGTCTTTGAGTTGGTTTGCTCAGAAATAGAGATTTTTCCTCCCTATTTCAGTGATGGCTGAATGGTATAAATTCTGCCCATGTCCGGTTCTGTCCAAGATTCTAACCTATAATATCCTCAGTGGTAAACAGATCATAAGTTAAAATCTCTCATCACAGAGCTAACCATGAGAGTTTTTCATGATATTCCTTTCTTCATGTAATGCAAATGCTAGTCTAAATCGAAAAGTGCTCCACGAAAGCTACCTCGAGGAAATCTACCTTCTGGAATTGGTTCAAATTCCAAAGCTACAGAATTGAACATAGCCAGCTGTCAACCCAAAAATGTGTCTGCTGTTGAATGCCTGTTATAATATAAAAGAAATTATCTTTGTACAGTTCAGTTAAAATAATTTTCAATCCTCTTAGTAATTTATTAGTCACATAATTTTTGAAATGCTGAACTGAGGTATCATATACACATTACTTTTTTATAATTTTGTTTAGCTGCATTTGATATAATCAGAATTCTTATTTCATGAAAAACATTAAGCTTTAATTAAATATTGAATTCAATTACATATTGAACTCAATAAATAATGAGATTTTGAATATAGTTCATGCTTTATTTATTTATTTTTTGTTGTTGTTTTATTGCTCCTTTTAAGGTTTCTTATTTTTCCTCTATCCAAGGCTGTTTTTCGAAGGCTCCGTGTTAATATTAAATTATGTTTTTTGTGAATAATGTGCTATTTCTATAACTGCTGTAAGTTTGCAATTGTTACTCAAGACTGTTAGGTCAAGTTTAACCTATCTAAAGACAGCGCTGTCTATGCTTATTTTGAAAATGGATCAAAACATCAATATGGAGAAAAGCAACAGTTTTGTGAAAATAAAAAGCGTTTGTCATCATATTTTTTTAATATTTATGAACTTATAACAGAGGTTTTGATAATTTTCATCGAAGTGGGAAAATATCGCCTAGTTATCGAGTTTTAAAAAAGTTTAATAACTTATGAAATATTTAAGTTATTTGTCTGTTCTAAAGTCCACATAATTCTTCACAGCAAGATTATATGCATAATTTAAAATCGTAGCTTTGCTTCAAGTGTAAGGCACTTACCTGGTTATCATGTTTTTGGGTTAAAGACCTCAATTATGTTAAGTTCATTAATTAAAATTTCCTCTAATCTTTAGATGATGAATCCACATTGGGTACCACCTGATCCTTCAAATAGATTCTTTGATGAATTCAAGGAACAAGGTGAGTTATTTTTTTTTTTAAATAAGAGATGTCTTTTAAAATCTTTTACTTATTGTTTCACTCTTGTTTTATATTTTTATCAGTTATTACTGCACGAGCTGCACCTGGGCAGATGAATGCATACTATAGTTCACTCAATTCACTCACCACAATGGGGTCTAAAGTAAGTGTTTTGCCTCATCTTATTTGTTGTATTTCAATTTTCTTACTCTTTCAGTTGGGAAAAAAAATCGAAGTTAAATAAGACTTTTAAATTGATTAAGAGTTTTCAAATCATAAAAACTTTTAGACTTACAATCCTTGCAAATGCTTAAATAGTGAAAAATAAATAAATAAAAATATTTTTTTGTTTAGTTAAGAATTTTAATCAAACTGGAAACCAACTTATATTGAATTTTTAAAAGGTGAGCAAAAACATGCTGCTTAGCATTTTAAAAAGGTGCTTAAATGTGCTTATTTTCGTTTTTTAACAGCCCTTGAAGGTGCTTTTTTGAAAAGTGCTTAATATTCCATTTTCGAAAATGAGAATTTTTTCTTTACTATGTTGATTTTCGCCACGTATTATGCAAAAACATGGTTTTCACATAGTTCAATTCAACTTTTTCACAATTCATTCAACTACAATCCATTCTGGCATTGTCGGTCTGTAGCGTATGAAAAGGCCAATCATTTTACATGTTTGATTAAATACTTGCAAGTCCTCTTGTGCATCTACTTAACTGGGTTCTGTGAGATTCTAGCACTCTCATGTGCAACTCTGCTGCATTTTGCAAGATATTCGCCATTTCAGGCTTAATTTTGCACTCTAAAATCTTTCAATCTTTTTATGTTGGCTAATATAACCACAAAAAAAGAGTTCTTTGTCAGAAACTAGTTATTTTATCATGATCATGTTATATCTTTTAAAAATTATTTTGCATTTTGTTAATGTATATAATGCTTAAAAATATTTTTTGAGTGCTTAAAAAGTACTCAAAAGGTGCATATTTTTTTGTTGAAAAATTTGGCTACGCACCCTGGGAAGAAAAAAAAAACTATTATGAACTATGTGTAGAAATCATGATTTTTACAAGCTATCTAATTACAAAAATTTATATCTCAAAGTTTGCTAGTAAGTTGTAAGAAGAAATTTCTTCGAAAAATAAAAAAAAATTTCCCCAAATTCCAAAAAGTAGAGATTAGCTCCTTATTATAACTCACTCAACTGGTTTTCATAAAAGATTGGCAAGTGAACTGATTACAAAATTTTTATTAGATTGCTTTGTGTTTATTAGGATGGTATCTTGTGATCAAAATTTTTAACCTTTTCCTGTTCTGTGTCTGATGACAATACAAGTTTTAAAATATCCTATTCCTGTCTAGCTAGTGTGCTCAAATTTTATCTGGAGTTCTTTGTTTTATACGGGTTACAATTGTTTTCCAAAAGGTGTAATCAAAATTTAACGCCAACTCAAATTTTGATCATTTTCTAAAATAAGTGAATTAATTCACAAGAAAAACTAACAAAAGAATGAAAATTATTAAACAATATAAAAATTTTGAAAACTGCGTTTTTCAGATATACTAAAAACAATGAAACAATTTTTGTTAGTCGAAAATGTAAAATGCTCAGCGCTTTACTTTCATAATAAACTTTTATCATTATCGGAAATTCCTCCCTTACATCCTTCTAAAGATTTGGTCTGAAAAAAGAAAACTATCTTCTCCATTTTAGTCTATTTGAAAAACATTGTTTTCTAAAATATTTTCTTGTTCAGCTGCCGTAAAGCAGTAATAATGTCTGACCTGTGAATTTGTCAACCAAATTCACAGGTTTTACTGATTTCATTTATCATAGTTTTTTATATCCTGTAACCATGATTGTTGTTTTTGTAGTATGCCAGTCTTGTAAATAGCATCCATCAATCCCAACATCTTCCAGCAGGGAGCACCAGCATGACGTTGTCTTCATACAATAAAGATCATTTGAGAATGAAGGGTGGACTGAGCCATGCAGAAGGCCCACCTTATCTTGTGCAGGACGCCCTGCCTAGGTAAGTCATGATTGGTTTAATGGAATTTATTGATTCCACTGAAAATTGCTTTGGTTATTTTGTGATGCACTGACTAATATTGCCCAAAATTATAAGAGAGGAATTAAAAAATTTTCATTGCTGGTTCAGAAAACCAGCAACTAAAAGATTCCTATCACCCTTACACATTTTCCCTAATCCGTTCACATGCCTTTTTTACATTAAACAATGATTAAAAATTTATGAAACATTATTTTTCTTATAAGAATATTTTTATAGAACACTACAATAATTCTACTGCTGAAAATTGTATGTTGTAATGGAAAAGTCAGGGACATTAGTTTCTGAACTGGAATAGTCACCCTGTTTAGAATTATCTTTTTCAACTTTGTTATGCAATAAAAGTAGTGTGGACTCTCGAATTAGTTTAAAAAAAATTGAGGCTCACTACCTACCAGAAATACAAGTAAAATATATAATATCAAAGAGATATCTATTTAATAATCAATTGGTTGGACTAGTAAATTGTTTGAAGAAGAAACTGGTATCCGTCTCCAAGATTTATCTTGGTTTAGATTCTCAACCAGCGTCCAGAGCCAGGCACCATGCTAAATGTAACTCTCATATAGGCCATGGCTCGTGGTTTGGCTTCTGCTGCTATAACATTAAGGAATTAAAGTATGTTGCTTGTAAATGATTTAACATCCTATTAAAAATTTAATAAATTCTTATGTCGTAACCATGTAAAATGTTAAATGTGTACCTAGAAATACTCCAAAATATATGAGTAAAAAATTTGCAACTTTCTTACTTTTTATTCATTTGGCTTCATCTAGCAAAAAAGGTAGTGCGTTCGGAACCTCAAAATCACTTAAAATAGCCTCAGCACAATGAACATACCAAAGACATGTAGTAAATAGCAATTTCTTTTCTTTTTTCTTTTCATGACAACTTCATTTATTTCATTGGGTATTTTTATCATCACATCATTTAAAAACACAAGAATTTACTTATCTTGCATATATTAGATTTTAATTTGTGTCAAAGTTTAAAAGATAATTCACAATCTATCTATTGTTTAGAATTCCAGTTGAAACTTTTAAGTTGTGATTATCTAGGAAAAGTATAGAATATGTAAGGTGCATATGCTTTTTTAGTGGATCATTATACTCTTTGTAAATAGGATAGGCCTCTCATGATTATACGATTTTTCCCACTCTCTACCGTTTTCTCTTCTCTGTTACCATAATTACAATAAATCTTGCTTTTTCCTACAGCAGTACATGTTAATAGAAAGGGGGAATATACTGGCGTTTGAAAAAGGAAATATTTACAATTTATGTGGTAACGTAAAGGGAAAGAGTGATGAAAATCGCATAACTTTGAGAAGCCTATTTTATTTACAAAGAGCAGATTTTATTTGCAGTAGTGCCAAAACAATAGTGGTAGGTGTCAAATTACCTTTTAATTTTAGTAATGTACTAGTTTTTTTTATATATTTTAGCTCATAGCCTTTCATGTTCTTTAATCATTAGGTACTGGTTCTAAATTGTTTGACATTGTTCTTAAATTATTTTTAATTTGATTTACTCTTGTTATATGGTCTACATATAATTAGAATATTTTTTTCTGAATTGATTTCATATTTTAATCATGACACATACATTGAATTTCTGTTTATAGTTTTATCCAATTCTGTATATTAAAATATGTATGTAGTCAATTCTGTGCATTAAAAAAAATTTTCTAGATTAAAATTTAGTAAAAAATGTATTAAAACTTGGTTGATTTTTTTTACATATATAATAAATTCTCTGCAAAAACTTAATTCAAAATCTATAATTTTTCAATTGTAACTGATTTTTTAATAATAAATTTTTTATATTTGTATTTTACAGTTTGACTACAAATGAAATAGATGTTCATTCAGTGCAAGAATTGAATCCCATGGAACTTCGAGCTGCCGATATGAGTCTTAGTGCTTTATTCTTACATGAGGTGTGTATATAATTGTTTTATAAACTTCTAATGAGTCGATTTCTATTTTGAAAATGGATTTCTTGAATTCAAGTAAGACTTTGCTTACTTTTTAATGGTGCCATCTTTTAACCTAAGCACTTGCAGAATTTTAATCAACTTATAGATTAGAATTAATGTTTAGCAAATATAAGTTTCTTTGGATTTTCAACAAAAATGGATTTGTTATGTTAAAGGAAAAAATTATTCAATGTAAAGGCGATAATTTTGCTAAAAAAAATAAACTATAGACTTAATATTTAATGAGTTAATAAGCTAGCAATGACAAATGCAACAGTATGTTAAGCTTTTTTTTTCCCTCTTATGATTTGCATTGAAAAGTTTTTGTGTTTCTTCATATGTGGTTTTTTTTATTTTTGCATTTACAATGTTTGTTTATTTAGGTACACGATAGATACATTGATTCAGCAAGAACTCAAAATAATCAATCTCAGCCTATTCTCCAGAATGTGGAAAATGGCAACGAAGAAGATCCTTTGTTGGATATACGAAGGTAAATAAATATACAAAGTATTTTTGTTGACTTTTAATTGTTAGTTTTTTTCTTTTTCTTAAATTAAGAGATTATATTACTTGTATCACATCGTATTTGTATTGTGAATTATTGTATTCTCTTCTGTGATTTTGTGTTAAATATTATCATTCTTTTATAATATTTGCAACAGAGTTGCAAAACCTATGTCCTACAGACCAGAGGTGGCTATTCAAGTACTTAGAAAAGGCACATTGAAAGTTAATAATTTCTTTATTTAATAATACAGTGAAACCTCCAGAAAAGACCTCTGTGTAGCCATCTCCTCTATTTACGACCACTTTTGGGAGGCACAGATTTTTTTTCATAGACTTTGTGTTGAAGAAAACCTTTAGGAGAGACCATCAAAGTTTCTCCCAACGACCTGGCAAACCTCTGCATCAAGTGCGGGAAAGGTCAAATAAGGAAATATGAAAAAATATCAAAATAAAAAATATTAGCAAAACAAATAAATAGATTCAAATGTAAACTAAAGGCAAACAACGTTAAAGAGCACAAAAATATTTGTAAAATACAGACAGCTGTTTCGGATGCTCAAAGGGCAACCTTCATCAGTGCAACAGAAAGAAATGAGAGAAAACAGGGTAAATATGGAGAAAGGTGATGTCACAAGAGGGTTTAGAGCAACGACCAATAGAAGGGAAGGGTGAATGGATGACGACGAATAGGAAGCAAGCGAATAGGAAGGAATTCAAATTTGTTCAAAATGTTTGTGAGTTTCTTTTACTTAGAGAGCTCTTTTTGACAATCACTGAGAGTTAAAAATTAAATTAGTAGAAAGGGTATTTTTAAAAAAAACTCTCATTTTTTAAAGTAATCTAATTTTTATGATATAAAATAAAATGTAAACTTAAGCAAAAAACATAATTCTTTATTTATTTAAAATAGTTCTTATCATTCATAATTGGTACATTTGTTTTTACACATAATTATATCAGTAGGGGTCATTTTTATTGACGCTGAATTTGATTCATCGATCCGGTTTTCATGACGCCAACGCAAGTGGTATTTCTGCACCAGGAAAATGACACTGATTAAAATTAAAATGGCTTGTGAAAAATCATGTACCTTCAATGACATTTCGAAGTCAAGGGAGCTAACCCTTTAAACCACCAGCCTTCGATATTGACCATTTTACTCTGAAACAGAGAGTGGCTGCTCCTCAGAGGTTTCAGTATAGTAATAAATGCAAAACAAAAATTTTGCACACCCGAAATATTATTTCTAATGTTAGTAAAATGAGTGAAAAAATAAAAGGAACATGACAAAATTAAAACTATGAGTAAAAACATTTTTTTAAAAATGTAATTCCTGTCTTTGCATTAATGTGATACTACATTAGTATCATAATTGTGGTAAATAATATTGCTTTGAGGAAAATTAAAAAGTTTATATTTTTAGGGAAATATTTTTATTTTAAACTTTCTGATTTCTTTACCTGTGCTTGAATTTTTTGACATTATTTCCTTTGTATCTAAATTTGTTTATATTAAATTAGTGTTAATTATTTGTTAAAACTAATTTAATTTGAGCACTTTTAGTGTTAATTATTAGATAATTAAAAATGTAGTTTCATATAAATATAGAAAAATATCTTCATTAAATATTGACTTTCTGAAATTAATATTATTCATGTTTAAGAAAGAAACTGACAACTCACATGTATATAAACCATATCTTAACTAAATATATCTTGCATTAACTTAACTAAATACATCTTGCATCAACATTGACATACATTGTCCCTCGTTGAACGTATTTTCTCGTTTTTGTGGCCCACTGTATTATGAAAAAAAAGTTGTGCATTCCTGTTTTAGAACATAAACACTATCTTCTAATTGCTGAAACCTGTCAAGGAATAGGAATATATCGCCTTCTTTTAGCAAATTTAAGTTCTGATAAAATAAATTTAGGTGCTAATAAGCAAATTTAGGTTCTAATAAAATTTAGATTCTCCCAAGATGCCTATGTTCTTTCGTCTCTTTGCCAACTCAATTTAAATCATCAACTATCTTTTGATTATGATTATGTACTGTCCTTTAGACAAAAAAAAGTTTATTTAAATGCATATATATTTTTATATAAATTACTACTTAAAGAAACATAAAAATGCTAGATACATAATAATTTACATCCAGTTGCATTTATAACAGTTCATTTAATATGTTTCTTTAACCCACCGTCGATTTAGCTCATAGTACTTCTTTTATTCTCTTAAATAATTGTGCCACATGGAAAACTTCATTCAGTTTTCTACCTAGAAAGGGTCATAGAAAGCCAAAACACTGCCCATCTAATAATAGATAAGAATAAAATGACCTTTCATGCCTCAGTTTTTTTAATCTAGGTGGATTAGCTTAAACCATTTGTAAATCTATATTTTATTTTTCAGAGCAAACTATGTCAATTGAAGAAACTATAACCTCACATTCATCCGACATCTTATGACATCATCGCAAATATAAGAAAATTTACATTTTTAATCTTCATTTTCATACAAGACCTGAACTGTGTAAATAGTATCTGAAAGATGGACGTTGGCGCAAATATTTGAGTTTTGATTTATTTTGAAGCGTCATATAGCTGAAATGCGCTTGCTCTAAGTTTAAGCCAGTCTTTCTGATTTAGGCCAAAGGTGATAACGAAGAAAAAAACTTTAGGATTGAACTTTCTGTTTCCTGTGATGAAAATAATACGATATGAGTGGCTCCAAATAAACCTGCTGTGCCTGAGATATAAAATGTTTTGATCTATAATTGTTGTTTTATTTGTTTGTTTTGCTTCAAGCATTATGTGTTAAAACCCATCAAAAAAATACACAAAAACATCTTTTATGCAGTCTCTTCTGTGTACTGCGTGAAAAACGAAAAACAAAAAAGCCTTCATAACTCTTAGTTTTTTATGTAGTGATCAGATTGTTGTGTACTAAAAAGTAGTGCTTATGTTTCCATGCTATGATTTAAAATATGTAAATTAATTTGTGCAAAAGTTATTTTAAGTTGCAAAAGTAGTCATAAAATAAACATGCCTTTTATTCTGGAGGTATGCCTATTTGATTTAACTCAAAATGTGTGGAGTTGCTGTAATCCGAAAAAAATAAATCCAACAGTTTAGTCAAGAGAGATTGAAAATTTGGATAATTTAGTGCTAATTTTAGCATATTTCGCCAAATCTCTGGACTTTTTTAAACGATTTTAAAAAATTTGCACACTATTGTAAAACTTGTTTATTGAAAGTTATTTTTAAAATGTTTGAATTATAAGGTGTGAAAATTTTCTGTATTATTTTAAGCTATGTAATCTATGCGACACACAACTTTACAATTGTCTTAAAATCTAATAATAAAACACAAATCTTAGAATATCGTCTCACAAATTAATTAGTTCATTTAAGGTTAGCATTTCAAACCATTATGAATTACAAGATTGCATCTTAGCACATAACAATCTGATTATGAGAACAAAAATAATAATTTGTTCTGTTTTTTATCTTAGGCAAACACTTTAAAATTTCTATTCTCTGCAGGACTAAATATGCTTTTTCTCATCTGTGTATGTTTGGAACATAGCCTTATCATGTTTTGTAATATGTTGCCCCTCTAATTAACTGACCCATGCAACTTAATTCATATTTACCTGATATTCTAAAAGCAAAATTGTCTTCATTCGAATTTTGCTTTTTGCTTTAATATACTTCTACAAGTATTATTAAATAAGTATGATAATTTATACATTAGCTTATACAGCTAATAAATGAATTTTAATTGATAAATAAGCTAAGTTTTGCAAATGAATGTCTTAACTTATCAAACTTACATAGAATTTTTATCATAGAATAGTGCAGAATATTTTAACCTTATTGCTAGAAAATATCAGCTTAAATTGAAAGGAATATCATAGTTATGACATCCAGACTAGAAAAAATAAAAGTTTTAGAATTTAAATTTTGGGTCTCAAATAAAAAATAATTAAGCAATTTTGTATTTTAAGTAAAAAAAATGTAATCAAATTTTTGATTTAGTATTTAAAAAATTCACAACTTTTTTGAGTTAAAAGTTGTCTTTTAATTTTGCATTAAAGAACAAATCAATTCCATAATTGTTTTTGAAAAAGGCATTTTAAGGAACTTTTTAATACAATTTTTAAAGTGCCCTTTCTTTCTTTCTTTATTTTTTTGCAAAGTTTTTTTCTATAAAATTTTTTTGTGTTTTAGAATTATCTTTGCAATATCTTATTCATGTTTTAACATATATGGCTACAAAACATAACTAAATTTTATACTATATTTTTACTAGTTATAAGGTTCTTAATTTCTGACATTATTTTCTGATTATCATGTGTAGTAAGCCTCTATATTTAAACTGTTTAGTCTTCTGGTAGTTTTACAAATGGCCATATTTGGAAGGAAGTTTCATTTCTTTACAATGATTTTCTTTTTAATAACATGGGAAAACTGGTTCTACTATCCCGAGATTAAAACAGGCCTTTCTTTTGTGCAGATCTGCTGAAGAATTAATGTTTTGTTTTTTGCCACTCACTTCAACAGTATATTATAGCTAATACTCGACAGTGATTGTTCTTATTATAATTTCTTTTGATTATTGTTTCTCATGATGCCTACTTGCTGAAATAATTTATTTGCTAGTTTTTGACACTTATATACTAATTCATGAGCTTATTTCTCAACATGCAGCTCGCATTAACTTGTTTATTATATTAATTTAAGAGCATAATGCTGTATGTTTTAGCATTACAAGAATCATGTGATCAATTTTATTTTAATGGTATAAGTTTAAGAGAACTGGAGTAAATTGAAGTAGGTTCTTAATCTGTTAGTATTTGTGTGCGTAATAAATGAATGAACGTTGAAAATTTGTTTTCCTTTTTTTTTTTAAGTTGTTGTTTATTTTAAAGAATTGTGATCAGTATGTGTTACAAACTATTTAACATGGTTTAATTTATTTTTGTTTATTGTGATAGTACTTATTTGTAACTACAATCTTTGTTTATGTTGTGGAGTTTCTCTTGTATGCGTATGAATTTAGTTGTGAAAAAATGAAGTTGGATATTATTTAGTTTATGAATGCTGTGTTTTAGAGTGTAATTTTCAATATTTTAGAGTTATATACTAAATGCTAGTTTTTTTTAAACTGCACTGTAATAATTTATTACTGTAAATAATTATTCCTACTTAATTGCTTGGTACGATTGTAATCACATTTTGTAATTTTTTAAAATCACTTAGAAACTGTAAATAAAGTGGCTGCCTTTGTAAATAAACAGTATTTTTAATATTACTGTATGAACCTGCAGTTCTCAAATTAAATGAAAAGACATTGCTTTCTATTATGCCATGTACTGATAAAAATATATCAGATGTGTAAAATTTCATTCTGAAATATTAATTAATAAGTTTTTGACTTAAGGTTTTAAATAAAAGTATCCTTATACTTGCACTTTTAAAATAGCAGGGGTAAAATAGACTTTTAATTAAGTTTATTGAAAAAAGTAAATTTATTGAAAAATGCTATCATAATTCTGCATTTCCTTTGTAACTAATTTTTTTCTGTAAATAAAACAAGTTCGAATCATAAAAAATATATTTGCTTAAACATGCTTTAACTATGTTAAGTCAATCTTAATAATCAAATCATCAATTAATATAAATCAAACTAACTTGAAACATTTATTTTTTCAATTTTTGTTCTTAGCTGAAAATACTTTTTTCACAATTATAAATTTAAAAAAAACTACATTCATATACATAATTATATATTGGGACCCCGGTTTTACGTTGCTATTTTAAGTTTTGTTATTCCGCTTCCTATGTCATTTTCTGCTGATCCATGAAAATTGCTTGTACCGACAATGTTAAATTATCCTGTATTTTACGTTACCCTTCTAAGAAAATCCAGCTTATGCATTTTTCTAAAAGATCAAATTCAATTTTTCTTTACAAACCTCACGCAAACTTTTTTAGAGTTTGTTTACTCTTTAATCAATTCATAAATTGTATTTTATTTTGAAATTAGTACTACTACCTAATTTATCTTTTTAATAATGATACTAAAAAAAGTGTTTTGTGAATTAATAAAATTTGTTTTACTCATATTGTGCATTTTAGAATGTAGGATATAATCTTGCTTATTGTAAATAAGCATGTATAGGTTTATTTTGATTATTTAATGTGATGTGCATTATTCAAAGTCTTCAAGCACTATGCTGCATAGAGTTATTACTGTTCATATTTTATATACTAATTATCATGCAGCTTATGTTGTATTACGAAAGCATGCATCGAGTGAATTATAGAATCCTTGACTACAGTTTCAAAAAATTTAAAAAGTCATTTAAGTAAAACTTTTAATAAGACGTTTAACATTTAAAAAAAAAACATTAATACTCTTCTTTTTTTGCTTGTGTTGTAATTAAATTACAAATTCTAATCTGGCATTTATAGAAGGAATTATTTTGATTATGTGCAATGATTAGTTTTTATTGACAGACTTTTAATAAAATAAAAGCTTGTTCAGAATTGTAATAGCTTTTATTTTTAAGGTGATTTTTAATCGTTGGATATAGATGAAATATGGCACAAAATAAGATTAACTTTTTGTTTCTGCTAATTCATGGTAGATTTCAATATCAAATATTCGTAGATTTCAGCAAAATTAATTTTAGTCTAATGGTTTAATATAGAACTTTATGGATTGATTTTTTTTTTATTGTTGCTGATATTAAATGACAACAAATTATCAAATTTGTTCAAAGGAAATTAATGGTGTTAACGTCGATTTAAATCATGCCATTTAGCTTTCCTTACAGGATCAAACTTTTATTTAAACCAAAAAAAATGCATTTAGTTAAACACAGAAGAATACAAATGTTTTCTTGATTACTAACAAAAAACTCTCGATTCATTATGTTTGTATCATGTTTAAACTTGTGACTCAAATTAAGTGCTGTTTAAATTATAAACTTCAAACACATCTTCATAATTTCAAAGTTTCCTAAATAATAATGCGATCACATTTAAAAAATCTGTATTATTAATAATTTAACTTCTGTAATTCAATTTTCTGTGGTAATGAATAATTTTTCTACTCTTTTTAACTCTAATGTTTAAAATGCATAAAAACGCAATTATTTTCTTGATTAATTACTAAAAACTATCAGCCACCTCATTAAATTTTTACTATATTTCAAATCATGGCTAAAACTATGTGTTGTTTAAGTAATAAAACTTCTAACACATCTTAATAGTTTCAAAATCTACTAAATAATAATGCGATCACAAAATCAGTATTATTGATATTTAACTTCTGCAGTTCAATTTCCCGTGGTAATAATTTTTCTACTCTTTTTAACTCTACGTTAAATTTCTCGACTTAAAAATTATCTCATAAATTATAGTCCTAACTGGTGGTCTCGTTTTTTTTTGTTTTTTTTAATCGGTTTAATTTAGATCTTTTCTTATGATTAGGTTTTTTAAGTTACTTTTAAATTTTAATGAAATTAACAACATTTAGTTTAAATATAATAATTATTAGTGTTATTAAATATAATTTCAATAGTTATTATTATGGTTTTATGTTAGTATTCATACATAAACTACTTATTATAAAAGTGCTATTTGATATTATTTATTAATATTTTCAATTATTTCATCTAAGCATCTTTAAACTCTTTGTGCAATTTCTTTTTATATTGCTGTGATGATGTGTTTTGTTCATCTTGCAAGACAAACAATAATGCTTTTCCTATTTTAATTATTCTTATTAGCTATATATATTTATTTTTTTCTGACAAAAATGCTCAAGATAATCTAAATCTACCATGCTCAATGGAACATGTGTTCATTATATGCTGACGTTTGAATTTAAATATTTTATGTGTGATTACACTGACATTAGTTGAAAACAAAATTTCAAATCATCTACAAATTTTTATGTTAACACGTGGTGCTTAAGTAATGTTTGGACATTATGATTTGATAGTGAATTTTATGTATTCAATAAAAACATGAAAATCTCTTTAAATGTCTTTTTTTTCTACTTATTTTTAATTTTTGAATAATAGCGATAATGAAATCTGTAGGATATAGTTCTTATTATCAAAATAGTAATGAATTCAATACCTATTTAAACCACATCAGGGACTCATACCCTTTAAAGTTACTCTAGTTTCAAATCTCGTAAATTTAAAAAAGTTAATTTTAATGAAATAAAATTTGTGTACCTGTATTACTGTATTTTCATAAAAATATGTATTTACTAAACTATTGAAATATATATATATATATATAATTCCAAGTTGTGACAGCGCCAAGGTGCTAATGTCAGAACTGGAAGGAACTTAGAAGAAAAATATTTTAAGATGAAATAAAATAAATTATTACCTCATAAGAGAACTAAAAAGATCAACACAGCAGGAGAAAACCTAGAACCATTATCACGAAATAACATATTAAATATCACCAAATGAATAGCACAACAGGAAATAGCAACCTAACTATCAAAAAGGAAAAATATTAAGAAGAAATTGCTGATTTACAAAATTGTTCCCTCACTGGCTGTATAGTGATGCCCCTTCCCCCCTGACGAAGCTGCCATATATGTCAGTGCATCCACTTTAATTACTTTTTAATATTTTTCCTTTTTGATAGTTAGGTTGCTATTTCCTGTTGTGATTTTCATAGGGTGAAATTTAATGTTATTTCGTGTTAATGGTTCTAGTTCTGCTGTGTTGATCCTTTTAGTTCTCTTATAAGGTAATAACTTATTTTATCTTAAAATATTTTTCTTCAAATATATATAGAGATTATTATTACTTGAAAAGAAAACTTTAAGAAAATCTGGTGAATTACTATAAAGGCAGGAAAAAGAAAACTTGGAAGTGTTTCCTAAAATCACTAGACAACTCCGCTATTTCCTCCAGCAATTAAACTGATTTTGATGATTTCAGTTCTGTTTTTTTTTTTAGTTTTAATTTATTAGATTTTTTTATTGATAGTTTGTAACCCCTATTGTGCAGACGTTTTTTTTTAACAAGGGTGGTCATTACATAATATAGCACTCTATATTTTGTTCATTATTTAATAATAAGGAAGTAATTTAATACTAGTAAAACCTTTCATGCTAGATGACTTGACCTTAAGCAACTTATCTTCCTGGGCATCAAAAACTGGCCATAGCAGGTTATCACACGATGATTCAAACTGCAAAGTGTAAGCAGTATTGCTCGTCAGTTTTACCAAGTTTAAAATTGTAAACTGAAATTCTTTTAGCCACAAAGGTCCATCTGGTGTATGGATGGTTTTATCTTGTGCATATACGCCTGCAACTGAAATGTTTTCTTTTTTATCCCATCTAAACATAGTAGCATTTTTACTTTCAAGGCTCACGGATACCACGCTATCTTCTAATAAGTTGGATATCAAGCAATAAGCTATTGTAAATTCACATAAATAGCAGTTATAAGATAAAGTAAATATGTTTAATTCGTCACTCTTCAATATGCTTACATGATTTATGTCCTCAACTTGATAAGTATAGAAAAATCTTGCCGGCAGACTTAACGGCATTTGTAGTCTTCTTTTTTTGGGCGCTACTCCCTTTTTGCTCATCCCAGTTATTTGCGATTGAAAAAACTGAATCAAATGCTCATTTTTGTATGCCTTAATATCTCTTACTTCAATGTCTTCGTAATTTATGTAAGTGGAATAAGGCTCAAAAAACTTAATAATATCGTCATAAATCGGCTCTTGGCGATTTCTGTAGGCATCGATGGTGGCCCTCATCCAAAGAGCGTAGATGACTTCAGATTCGTCGTTCACGTTGAGTTGGGGTTGAGATACGATTGTGGTAATTGTTGAAGTTTGTATTTGGTTGAAGTCTTCGGAATCTAATATGATGAATCCGGCATTCACGCAAATCACGAGACAGTTTACATAGAGTTTGGGAATGGAATGTGTGATCGCCAACTCCAAAAGACTGCAGGCATTAGATAGGTCTAAAATGTCCATCAGGAACTCTATGCATTTTTCATACAAACTTGTTAATTCATAAGTCGATGCAATGAGCATTAAGTCTTCTGTTGCTTGTACGCTGCATGTGTTGAAGTCGCCAGTGTAAATATAACTAAGGAAATACACAGACTTAAGTTTACTACTTAATACTTAAAGTTATCAATTTTGTTTTGCTGCAATTATACAAAAATGGGAAAAAATTGGAATCTTAAATCAAGAAATAAATTTTCTTCCCATTAGGGAAAAATATAGGCAAAAAAAAAAAAATCGGCGGATTTTAGAAAAAATAGTATTTTGTGGTCTTTATGATCTCTATATATTAAATCAAATTTAAAAAAAAGGTTCCGAAATCAATACTTTTTGGGACATAATAGCATTTGAATATAGTGTTAGTTTTATAAAATCTTTTGTAGCATAGTTAGTCAGAAACTAATATTTTTTCAAGCTAAAGATTATTAGATTTGAAAAATATTAGTTACAGGATAATTTTTGCCAGTTAAGACTTATGATTAAAATATTTTTGTCTTTAAAAAACTTTTATTAACGATATATCAGAAAAAAATCGCTTCCTTATTTGAAATTTAGAGTTAGGAGGTCTATAGGTCCTGGTTCTAGATTCATGAGAGTCCTTATAGAATATAAAAAAGAGTTTAAGAGCATTCATTTAAGACTTGTTTCTTTAAAACAACCTTGTTGTGTGAGTTAAACAGAAAATAAAATAGAATTTTTAAAAGAATTTCAAACTACCTTTTCCTTCTATTCAATTTTGCTCAGAGTAAAAATGCTCGAAGAGTTAACGAAAAAGTATATTTGTTCTAAACTAAATCACAGTCTTTGAAAGTCGATAAATATGTTAAAAATTTAAATAATAGTAAGCTTGATTTGTGAAATATATGATTTTTGGTCTTAAGCTAGAAAATAAAGCTTTTTCACTAATAATAACTGCATATTTTTTTTTTTTTTTTACTTACCTTAACATCAAGAACAAAATATTTGGCTTTATATTTGTAAATGTTATGATATCGGTAGTATAACACTTTTCCTTGAATACTTCGCTGGCTTTAGAAAGAATGATTTTGTGACAATGGAACGTCATAGAATCTCCATTCATTTTAACAACTAATTTCATGTCCGGAAATTCCTTTCTTGGAAAATTATTCCACAGCTTTTCCAGTAGCATAGTTTGTATCCCTAGAGGAAAAATTAATTTCATGTAACATTTATCAAAATGATTTTTAATACTATATAGAATTTAAAAATTTTTCTCAGTGAATCATGCAAATTGGTAGAAAAGCTGTCTTGTAGGTCTTGCCCAAAAGTTTCTCCCCTACCTGAATAATTGATGGAGTGGGCGGAGGATCTCTATTGAAAAAGAACCCCTTCTCCTGCAGATCATTACTCACCAAATCTGTATGATGCCAAAGACGATAAAGGGTTTCAAATGGAAAACCGATTTACCTCGCTTTTAAGCGTCATAGTTGATTAATTCTTCCTTTAGTTGGAGAGTGAAACTTGCGGAATTTTTCGGAGACGCAAGGGATTTTTAGGGAGAAAAGCTTTCTTATTCACCTCTTATTCTCGTATAAGAGGGGATAAATCAGTAAAAAGTAAAGAAATTTAAGATTTTAAAAATAAGGAAAAATCCTTCTTCATACCAGGAAAAATAGTAATCTCCCTCAGCAGAAAAACGCCTAGAGAAAACAGCTATATCATGCCAAGGGAGTATTAAACCAAGCCCGTTACAGGGGAACCCTTTAACGCACCTGAAAGCAATTACCCTTATCTTGACAGCTGAGGTTTGGGCGAGATCTACAATGAATCGGTAGAAAATATTGCTGGGCAACTGGAAATGAGGTAAAAAGGTTTTTTTTCCCTGTAATCTGCTGAGTTACACTATTCCGAATTTCATAAATAAGTTTTGTTCTTATTCACATGCATTATTTTCGTTTATTTCATATATCTTTATGAAATTGATTATCTGAAAATTTATTTACTCACAACTCGCATTTCACCTTTATTTTCTCTAAAGGGAGATTCAGCATTTATGTACTACAAATTGATTTTTCTTTCAATTCCGTATTTACATTTATTTAAAAATTTATTCTTCATTTACAATTATCTCAAAACAGAATGCAGTAGACGCTTTTATTCAATCTCACTCTGAATAGTCAACGAACATAATTTAGTCAATCAAATTAAATTAAAGAACGTAATTTTACTTAATTGGAAATGCATTTTTTAAATCTAGTAATAATTTATCGTGCATATTTGTTTTAATCAATAAAAATACTTCCATAAAATAAATAGTATTGAATAATAAAAAACGTAATGTGTATTTTACTTGAGGAAATAAATAGGAACTGTTTTATAGATATAATATATATTTTGCATGCGTATTAAGTAAACATATTCGCATTAAAAAAAACTTTATTTGCATAAAAAATATACTATTTCTTGCCCGAAAATTCGAAATCATTAAAAATACGCTTACCTATCGATGACTAATATTTCGGAACTATAATAAATCAGATAATTTTAATATTATGTTAAGTTTAAAAAGCAGACGATCGAAATTTCGAATCATGATTGTTAACTTCAATTATTCCTCATTAATAGAATAAACTAAAAACAAAATATTTTGTTTAAATGTTTGTCATTTATTAACAGTTATAATGGAGAAATACTATAAAAATCTAAAATATTTTCCAGTGATGTGTGTTTTAAGTGAATTTTGTTAATCGTTTGAAAGATAATATTTTTTCGTTTGCAGTTTATCTAAATTCTCTTGTTTATTTGCTTAATTTTTTTTAACTAGTAATTATTATTGGATGGTAATAGTTTAAATGTATAATGTTGAATAAAAAATGTGTGAAAAATTAAATTTTCTGATCAAGTTTTGAACTTTCTATATTTTAAGATTGAATTATCGTTTGAGTCAGTTTCATTTCAATAACAGTTAAGAAATCTATTACCTTCAAAAGAGAATACTGTGCCCCCCCCCCAAAAAAAAAAAAAATTTATTTTCTATTGACCTTGGACAGTGTAGTAAATCAGGGCTGTTGATGATGTTGACAAAATTGAGGAGAAAGTAGTTTAATTTAGTGCTGGTCTAAAGAAAATAGTTAATCAAATAAGAAAGAAGAAAAAAAAAAACATTTATTTTGGAAAGGGTTAAATTTATATGTATTTTTGTATAGATCATATCACGTTCTCAAACAATTGTAACCATCTTCATTTATTTTAGGACAAAATATGTCAATGTCTTTTTAATCATAAGAAAATTTGTCATATTTTAAATCCTATACCACCGTCACATCTTCTTCAGCCTAATTTATTTTACTAATTAACAAAAGTGAAAGATCGTAAATTGATTTTGCTAAGGACAACGTTCTCACCGCATTATCTGGGATAAAGTTGCATTCATGATTATCATATTTGGCACAACAGTTTCGTGTAGTTTTTTTTTTTTTTTTTGCGACCCCTGGTCTACCAATCGAGCTATCGTATTTTGGCTTTTCTCTTTTCCGACTAGTGAAAGGCTTTAAAACAAAAAACTACTTTACTGTTTTTTTTTATTTAATCCATTCTAACATTATGAGCAGCCCAGTTTATTATTTTAATAATTTTACGCTATCAGGCTCTTTAACAGTACAATAAATTTCCGAATTAAAATATTTTCGCCAAGAAACGTTTAAATTTACATTATTTTTGTTACATATAGTCATTCTAATAAATAAGTAGAAAACGTTTGCAGAAAAAAATTATTAGATATTTTCAGCTTAAGATCTTTGATTCCTGCAGAGGACACATCATATTCAGTTTCACGTTTTGGTGGTGCACTTTAGGTACTACTTTCTTTTTTGTTAGACATGTTTTATAGTTTTTGAAACATATAACTTTGTATACATAGAATATTAATAGCTTTTAATTTTACTTCAAGCAGTATAGCTGCATTCTGCTTCTGCGAAAATTATACCTACAAATCTCAAGACCTTCTAAGTTGGAAATGCGAGACGTCTAAATTTGATTTTAAATTGAGTAAGTTTCATTACATGTTTGTCAAACTGTTGGAGAAAATATTTTAAATATGTGTTCTCATTTTACCAAGAAAATTATTTTTGGCACTTATTATTTTAGTTTAAGAAATGTTTAAACCTCCCTCCTAACTATGGACCTAAGCAGAAATGCATATTCTATTTATGAGCCTTCCGAAAGTGAGAAGGATAATAAGGCAGATAAAAATAAAAATAGATACATATTTTAATTTCTAATGAAAATAAATTTCTAGCTAACCAAAAAAAAATCTTATTTTTCAGGACTAAAAGTAAGAATATTTAAAGTACCCGATAGAAAAAATTTAAGAACCAAAAATGGAAACTAAGAAACTGTTATGGGAAAAAAATTAAACGCTTAAAAAAAAAAAAAAAAAATTATATGAACTAAGAAGCTATGCAAAACATTAAAGTAGGTAGTTTTTTCATAAACGTTTCAACGATGCGTGAATAGATAGCAAACTAAATGATGAAAAAGCAGCAATGTAAACTAAGTTTATTGATGATATTCATAGTATAGCACAGTAAGTTATAATTTTCAGACATTCAGTCATAATTAAAACTAATCCACATCTTCGTATAAAGATAGTAAAAACTATTTGGACCAACTCCTGGAAGCACAGACTCGCGTTTAAACATGTAAATATTAAGTACTATTTACAAAAATGACAGTCTACACTTCAAGATATTCTATTAAAAATAATGTCACTTGTTTGGAGCCCCATTACCTACCAAAATACTAAAGAATGCAACCCAATGAATATTTGTTTGAAATTGTACCCATTTTCATTGCCAGAGTCAAAGTTTGAAATTGCGTCAATTTTCATAGAGAGCATTATAAAACTAAAAAGGAATAAAAAATTGTAGATTCTAATCACATAGCAAAAGATATAATTTTAATAAGTTTATTTATTGATAAACTGGTTTAATTAAGCTTTTATTTTTTTTTAATTATTTCATATATTCAATCACTGAGCATTGTTACTTATATAAAATCAAACAATCTTAAAAATAGTTAGTCACAATATAAACCAGTTAAATAAGTATGTGAAAAATAAAGAATATTAAGTTGTCATAGTAACAGCAAGTATATAATGACTCACATGTGCTTATGATTAAGATTCCATCATTCTACATGCACATAGGTTTATAAACCCATAGATATTCTGCATGCAAGAGAAACTAAATAAAAAGTAAACATTTCTCGCAACAGCCCATAGTAGGCCAGAATATAGCTCCACAATTTCGTGACTAACATCAGTGAGGTCGGCATTGCGCAACGACTGCCTTTACTTCCTAGAAAAACTGGTACCCATTAATCTAAAGCTAGCAGGGCTTCAAGCCACAGCCAGGGATTGAAGCATGGTCCTTCTGAATGCCAGCTCAATGCCTGAACTACTGAGCTATTGTGGCTCAAGCAAGCTCAATAAGTTTACTTTTATTTCGTTTTCAAACTTGCTTTTAAAATTTTTTTGCTTGCTTGGTTTTAAATAATTTCTATCTTGATTTCATGAAATAAATGTTTATAATGTTTGGTGTAGTTGAAATCCGTACTTTCAAGTAATAAGGATCTAAACATGTGAAATTATTTTATAACAACCCTGTTTGTTATATCTGTTTTTTTTCTCTCTCTCATTACAGATAAAAATTGTTGGAAAAAACTATATTTTCACTACATTTTGAAAACTTACAATCGAACACATATATTTGCACATCTAAGAGTTACAAATTGTAAGCTTAATTATGTTTTAAGATATAATCTACAAAAAGGCTACAATTAAATTTAGTGGTACGGACAGATTCATTAACAATATGTCACAGATGTAAGAATATACATCTAACTGTTTCACATTAAGAGAGTTCTTTGAAGCTCTTTCACCAAAAATAAATAAGCTACAGCTAGAGTATCTTACTTTTTATACATTTCATATCTACTATCTTACTGTTGTGAATAGTTAAGACTCTGAAGCACACAGATATTTAAAAAAAAAAAAACTTCTTAAGAAATCGCCAATTTGGCGATATTTTCCCTTTAAATAAAAATCAATGTTTGAAAAATTTTTTTTATTCATATCTACTATCTTACTGTTATGAATGGTTAAGACTCTGAAACACAGATATTTTTTTTAAAAAAAAGACTTAAGAAATCGCCAATTTGGCGATATTTTCCCCTTTAATAAAAATCAATGTTCAAAAAAATAATAATAATTCAGTGAGGAAGTATTTATTCAAATATTGATCATAAACACTTTTCATTTTCTCAAAACTGTAATTTTCTGTTATTTCATAATTAGCATAGAGGTCATGGGCAAAAAATGAAACCTAGCAGTCATAAATAACAGTTAGATCCTTACTGTTACCAAAAACAGCATAATTTTAGCTAAAAAGCATTATTTATTATGGCGTCAGAGCCTTTAAAGAACAGCCTGAATGAGAAAATACAAGTCATCCCAGATTTCTAATAAAAAATTGTAAGAAGTGCTAGAATACATACTTATATCGAACGCATATTTGACAAAAATAGATATGCTCTCACAGTAAACAAAGAATTGGTATCCAATCCTCACATAGTATTGAACATGGTCAATATAAGAGTATAATTGTTTTACAAGTCCTTGCAAATTACCAAACTAACATGATATATTAAAGTTTGCTTCCATTGCATTTCAAAGAATGAATTAACTCTTTTTCTTAATTATTATGATGAAATATGCATTGAAAATAGAATGTAACCAACAACAACTGCATATTGGAAAGAAGATAAAACTGTGTAAATTGTCATAAAACATTTGAAGGGGGGAGATGCTGTGTGCCACACATAATTCTGAATTATTGAGATGATATATATATATTCACATGAGGTACTCATTTACTTTATCTTTCATGTTGGTATTTCAGACTTGAATTTTGTCCAAACTTGAGCTGAATTCACAGTTAAGAAATTAAAATCTTTAAATAGACAATTAAAATTCAATATTTATAGGATTATTGAATTTTATCCTAGATAAATTCAATATCTAGGATTTTTAAAACCTAGTTCGAAAATTACACCAGCTATAAATTTACTTTATTTACTTAATCCTCAATACAATAAGTTCTTAAATTAAAACTTTTATTTTCATTTGCTAAGTATAATTTTTTTTTTCAATAATAAAAGTGAAGACGTAATTCCAACATATGAATTGGAGATATGAATAATTCTTATAAAAAAGTTACTTTTAACCTGTATATGAACCAACAGTTTATTTTTTGTTCCAAAAGAAATTTACTTGTATAATAATATAGATCAGTGTCTGGTAAGTACTTCTTTTAACATTAAATACTTGTAGTTATTCACATTTAAAATTTTGGTTAAAATATACATCAATTTTTTTTAAATTAAAATATTTGCAAGGTTAATTTAGTCAAGGCAACATTTACAAAAAAAATTTTTGCAACTTATTGTATCCTATCACACTCTATAATTTCCAATAGAAATTTTTGGGATATTTCATAAAAAATTTATCTTCACAAATCAACATCTTTGCAAACTTATTTGTCCTTTCCGAAAACTGGATTTTACAGACATGTGAAATGATATAATGAAAGCAATGTTACATAGTACACAGTTATTACTCTTGCCTTAATTACAACATTTTACTAAAAATTTGAATAACAACTTTTACAGGGTAATGCCAAGCCAACTGACTTTTTACAAAATTGAATATTAAGCAGGTGTAATAACTTATATTAGTCAACAGGATAGGAATAGAAAGAGTATTAAAAATGTGAATCATACGTTCAGTTGCAATGGAGCACACATTATGACAAAACTAAGCCTAATTTTTTAAACACTTTAATGTTGGTTGAATTGGTAAATTTCCAAACCATACTGTTTTGGGCGAAGAACTTTGAAGAAAGTGTTGAGTGAGAAACTTGGAGCTCCAAAAATTTAAACAAGCCATTTTTGGCAAATTAGTGCCGATCGGCAGTGACCTGAGGAAGCTAATGTACAACAACTTCCAAGTATGTTCACAAGATCACATCATTACAAAGGCCATCTTTCGGACACTATTTGCAAGTAATAAACATTTGAAAGTTGGTAAATAAATGGCACATTTTAGTGTATTTATAGACTATACAACTTTCTTTATCCTGTTTTTATTCAATAATATATAATCGTGTCTAAGGTATCGGTCCGCTTGAGGCTACCCTGTATTAAAGGTAAAATTTTTTAAGTATCAGCTTTAATTGGACACTAGGTACAATAAACAATGTTGAATCACAAAGTCTTCTGATCAAATAACACAGACACAAATGTTTAAATAACACTGAGAAGCTTTCCACTAAAATACCAGGAAAAATAATAAAATATATAACACTAAAAATGTGTACCATATTTTTAAGATTTTCCAGTCTTTACTGCAGCTATTGCTTCACAATAAGCTATTTCAGTTTAAAACAACCAATTAAATGAAATTTTAATTGCACACATTTGTTAAATCTAATCAATTGTAGAAATCAGGAAGTTCCGAGTTACTGCTGTCGATACGAAAAGGAAGAATTCAGTAGATTTTACAATATATAAATTTCAAGCTAATGTGCAATATCTAAAATCAAGACAAATTATTATCCAGCAAACATTAATTATTTTAGACAAAGAATATTTTAGTGGGTTAGTGGGTAATATTAAAATACAAAACTATCATACACTAATAATCATAAAATGTTTTTATAATTCTGAATTCGCTTTAGACAGGTAATAAATATTCTTAGATTAATTTAAAAATAGGGAGTTCTCAATAAAAAAATTAATAAGTTTAAAATATCTGAAATAGAAAATCTTTAAATTGATAGCAATAAAATGAGGCCTACATCATTATTTATTAGAAATACTTATTTAAGTACACAAGTAAGCAATTGAGTGAGAAAAAATTTATTTTTATAAGGTTTATTTTACAGTAACTTTCCCCTTTTAGAAGAGTATTTTCCAAAATATATTAAAATGATGAACTGGCATATTAAGTGTATATATATGTATGTTCGTGTGTGAGTCACTATTTATGAGTATGACTTAAATATTTAAAAGACTTAAAAAGGATTAAATTGTACTAAGAGAATTTTCTAAAATATGTAAAAACCAGGAAAAGCTAACTAACTCCAGAAGTTTACAGTGAAAAACTAGTAGAATTGGCACCTATGAATGATGAATGTGCATATAAAGAAATATGCAAGAGAAAAAATATGCCAAGACTGCTTTAAATGATTAAGACTTAAATGACTTACAGGACGAATACAGGTTTTTTTTGGTGTTGTTTTGAGCAAATTAAAAAAACAATCAATCAAATGACAATATATTATTTTATTAATAAAAGTTCTCAGGTACAAGTGCATCATACCAAGTGACAACGTGTAGAACTACTGCTGGCATTAACATAATTTGCTTAAATTAAGACCTTTTTTTGTAAAAATGTATCTAGATTTTTTTTATATTCAGACTTCTTCCGACACCACATTTTTATTTATACACCACAACACTCTACATATCACAAAACATTTTTTAACAAACACAAAAACTGTTGGTCATGCCAAAGTCTGATTACACATATTTGTTTACATTAGAAGACAAATTTTATTAATAAGACAGAAGTGTCTGCACAGAATCTCAAAAATTTTAATAATAAAACCTATTTTTGATGAGATAAAAAGAAATGCATTATTTCATACATGATTTTTTTTTCCCCCAGAGACAATGACAACTAACCAACAACTATCACAAGCAGTTTGCCACCTAGGTAGCGATGAGTTTTTAAAAAAAACCTGCTTTATGGAATCGCAACTATTCTGTTTTTAGTGAAGTGGTGTGCTTGAAATTCCTAAATATTGTTTACTGTTTAAACAGCTCCAACAAGTTTTTGGAGGCCATCGGTTGTCATGGATTTTGGCCTCTCCAATGGAAGGCCAAGTCCTCTGTCCCAAACTAAAGATGCCATGACACCAAGAGCACGAGAAACACCAAAGAGAACAGTGTAGAACTGCATTTCAGACATTCCATAGTACTAAAAAACAAAATATATTTTTATAAAAAAAAGTATATTTTGAGATAAATTAAGGAAAAAGAAATAGAGCAGTAGTAACATTATAATCTTTTTGAGCCATGCAACATTAAGGAAAGAATTCAAATAAGCTGCATTATATGTAATCTATTTCTGATCAATTCACAGAAATAAATTTATTGACACCTAGGTTAAACATTAAACTTTGTAAATTGTGGAAACATTTTTTCAATTTAGATTAGAATAAATAAAAAATAATAATATTAGAGTAAAATATTAACCTTTTTGAGTTTTGTAATTCTAAAGAATGAATTCAAATAAATTACTATAGTTTCTGATAAATTTTTCCATGAACTACTGCTAGTAAGTTAATCTTTTATTCCATTTCCCCAAGAACAGTAACTTCAATAATCACATTTTTTAACAGTCTATCATTACTTTAACTATTTATGTTTTATAAAAACCAGGCGTACTTCAGATGTTTTATGCCCTAATTTTGTAAGAACAGAACGATTAACATCAAATATGTTGGCATAATCTACACACTTTATTTAGGAGGATTATGCACAATTTGATTTACATTTTTAGCAATTATAAAAACAAACAAAATTCAACACTAAGAAATAAGACATTAGATCTATCACAAAAGGAGGGAGAAAAATTACCTGCAGCAGTACACCACTGTGAGCATCAACATTAGGCCAGGGATTTTTCACTTTTCCCAATTCCAACAAAATAGGAGGCACAACTTTGTAAATTGTGGATACCAATTTAAACATTGGATCATTAGGCAAGTGCTTGAGGGCAAACTCTCTTTGAGCTACATAACGGGGGTCAGTTTTCCTCAAAACAGCATGTCCATATCCAGGAATTACCTATCAAGTATAATCAAACATAAAAACAAGGTTCATAAATATTGAATAGACTACATTTTTTAGTCTTAACTCTTACAAGTGAAATGGTAACTTACCAAATCACAAAATAATACGCTGTAATAAATATTCTAGTTACAGTGTCTAAAATCTATTTTGAACATAAATAAAAACACAGAATGTGCCACTTGCAACATTACAAATTTTGTCGGTATTAATTGATAATTAAAAGTTCGGTATATTTTTACTACTGTAGATAACTGCCATTTTAACTAGTGATCAAATTTGGAGATTATGTATTTTTGTATAAGTAATTTCTCTCCAAAAATTTATTACATCTTTAATAACAATGCAGTAAACTGTGTATTTTTAACTTATGAAGCAGTGTTTTTTATTTTTTGTTCAAAAGAGTCAGATATTTAACGGTCACCCTGTATAACTATTTTCACCGTCCTGGTATGTATGCAAAAAATAAATTTTTAAACGCTATTTGACACTAACTTTCCAAAAACTCCAATTGAGCAATTTAGCACTTGAAAAAAGTTACTTAATACAAGGATCTAAACGGAAGTAAAAAGCAACCTATTTACATTAATAAATTTCTTCACCAAATAGAGCAAATGACCACTAAATATAAAAGCTTTAGAACTTGAGATTTTTTAATGATGAATGCTAAGAAAAATTTATTAATATTCGTTCAATGTAGGCATAAAATCTAATATCCTAAATCAACAAATTTAAAGATTCCCTTGTTAGTTTCAAATAATATTAACAATAAGTACCTGTCCAGATTTTAATGTTTTCCAAACAAATTCCTTTAATCTCTCTTCGGTGAAATCTCCACCAAGTTCTTTCTGTAGTTTCGTTAACCAAACAAGCACTTCCTAATAAAGAAATTTGTTGATGCATATTAATACATGTAAAATGTGTAAACAAAGAAGCTATAATACAGTTTCCACTCTTTAACCAATATAAACTTTAACAGGGATGAGATTAGCCAAAAAGCAAAAAAGCTGAATTTCCACGATAGTAAATTTTACGCAAGCGCAACCCTTTAATAATAACAGTTTAAGGTAATAAATAATGTGTTGACATACAATTGTGTACTAATCTATCATTATATAAATGATTACATTGATACTTAACATTTAGTGAAAACAAAAATTACCATCTGAAAAAATAAATCTGGAAATTATATTTTTCCCCAGTTCACATAAGAGACAATTATTACTTGAAAAACTACCTGGTTTAGCAAATCAAAACTACTGAGAATATACATTAATATTTCATTTCTTTTAATAAATACTGTAATGTGATTTATAGCAAATGTATCAGTAATATTGCTTTTTAAATTATATTGGGAAAACAATGAACCGAATCATTACGTTCATATTATAGTCTAATCTAACTAGAGCCCTCTGAAACATATCAATAGCAGTGAAGTAGAAATATATAGTAACACCTTAACATACAAAAATTGCTATTTTAGTTTGAAAAATTACATGACAATCAGCAATTGTTTAGATAATTGTTTTTTATTTGATAAGAATTTTGCATTTTATAGCATAAATAACAGCAATTATTAATACAATTTTGATGATGAGTTAATTAACTCTTTCCCCCCAAAACAAATTAAATTAAATCTCTTTTTAAGTGATTGCTTTTGTTCGCTATATCTTTTATGTTTTCTACATTTAGTCGTTAGTCCATCTTCAAACATCTTGTGACAAATCCTATTTTTTCTTCTTTGCAGGCACAGAATGTAAGTTTTGAATATATTCCCTTCCAGTTTCTCTGATGTTGTAACACTTACATATACTAATAATCGTCCTTAGAAAAACAGTCACCTTTATAGTAACTAATTTAAAAAAAATGTACTTCTTACAAGAATCGTGATAGTTGATCTTAAAATTGCGTGAATATGAATAACAATTATGGGTTTTGAAATCACATGAATATGAAACTAGATATATGATTTTGAAAATGAGAAAATACATACAGGGATATAGAATACAGGGATATGCGTGAATGCGAATCCCAATACCTTATTTTAAAATCATGTATAAATACGAAAATCAATGTTTGATATTATAAACCGCATGAGCAAATCAAGACATTGAATTTTAAACTTGCGAGAATTGCCACATAGGTTTTTAAAAAGGTGTAAATACGAATCACAATATCGGATTTTCAAATCTCGTAAATAATAATCGCAACGTACAATATTCAAATCGCGTGAATAAGAATCGCAGCACACAAATATGAAAAGCTATGTTTGATATTAAAATCGTGTGAATAAGAATCGAGATATTAGCAGATTCCAGGCTTGGGACCTCTAAAAGGCTTGTCAGAAGCAGCGTCGTTTGAACTACAAAAATCGGAGGGCGGGTAAAAAATTTGGAAAATCTTATCTGCTGCGTGAAAAAGGGGGAGAAAATAGCTAAAATAAGTAAAAATGAGAAAGGATTGGTAGCTATGTAGTTTGAATTTTCTGTTTCTCTTTGAAAATCGGTGAATTTTCTGAAAAAGCAGAACATTTAAAAAAAAGTGAAATTTTTAGAAAAATCTGAATTTTTGATAAAAAAAAAGCTGAAATTCAAGAGATAAAAGTGAAAAAAGCGGAAATCCGCTAAAAAGCGGAAAAATCTCATCCCTGT